ACACAAAGTATTGAAACAGAAAGCAAAAATCAAATATTGAATTACTAAATTAAATAAAAAATCCTACTTTGGCTCAGTCTAATATAATTACAGTGATTTGCTAAAGTATGGATTCTTTTTTAAAAATTTTAAGTAACTTAGTTTGTAGTTTTGTAGTTATTGAGTTACTTAAAGTTAAAATTAAAAATCTTTACTTTGGCTCAGTCTAATATAATTACAGTGATTTGCTAAAGTATGGATTTTAAGTAACTTAGTTTTGTAGTTTTGATTGTCTTGTTTCAAAACTTTTTGTATATATCAAGCCATACTTGTCTTTATGAAAAGTAAAAAAAATAACTGTTATTCTTGTTTCAACTTGACTCCCTCCCTGAAAATATTATATAAATATATCTGTATCTCGCATCAAAAAGTGCGCAATTTTTTCATATTGTGTTTCATATCTGCTTCGTTATCATAAATTATTATATATACAATGGCGATTTTTGTGTGTGTGTGTGAAAACTAGCTTAGGTCGTTCCCCGTGTACAAAATCCATTACAAAAGCCTTTAAAATAATTCAAGACCACATTACAAACTCATGTTAGGTAATGCACGTCGTGGGATTAGGTATTAGTAAAATAGTTTCAATTACTAAGAGTACTAAAATACATTAATTAAATATATACATTTATACAATGTTACAAATAATAACTTTGCCTTACATTAGTGTATTTAACTAAGTAAGGGATGATGATCTAATTACACAGAAAACATTCTCATTTTAAAGGAGATTACAGTATAAATTGAAGTTGTTGTTAACAAGTAATAATAAACAGTGTCTCTGTACAGTATTGATGTCTGATATCTAAGAAACCGGATTTTTGGTTGATGGTTTGGTAAAACTGATAAAGGCAACTGTTGATATTTTCTTATTTGTTTATGAATAATTTAACACTTTGCAAATTAGTTTTACAGTCTTCTATCATCTCTTCAGCTGTATTATCATACAGCCACTTAATCCGTTTAATTATTACAGTTAATCTTCTTGCAATGTCTACGACTGTCTTTTCACTATGAGCATTGAAACAATAATACAGTTTTGTGTTGTTCATATTACAAAAGTCGTATATAATATCTTTATCTTCGTCACTGGAATCTTAAGGCAATGCTCTGTTACCGGGTTTTACAATAACGGCTTAACTTTTTAAGATTGTATTTTTCAGTTCTAATAGTTATAGAAACATCATTAAGTTCGTAATAGATGTAGTTGTACGTTGTGGTTTTTGCATATTTTGCAAACCGAACTAACTTTAAATAAAATATACTACAATTCAAACAAAAGACAAGTCTCACGCAAGTACGCAGGGTGGGTTTGAGGGGTTTCGGCCAACCCCCCCTTTTTGTTTCTGGTGTTTCCCTAGTAGAACAATGCTGTAAAGAACCGACTTCACTATGAGTGAACGTAGGTGGTTATTCACATCGTATCTTCAAGTACAGCAGTAATGTTGTAAACAAATGTAATATTAATGTTAGCATGTCAGAGTTAGTCAGCGACAAGCCCAACGTGCAAATGCAGAATATAGTTCAGTGGAGGATTACTTTAGGAAAACAGCGACCATTTCCTTTCTTGAACATATTATCAGTAATCTTTAGTCCAGATTTGATGCACATGTAAAGGAAGTATCATCAATTCAGAAACTTATGTTATCAAAACTCACACAAGAGTTTTCTAACTCTGATATAAGACAGGCTATAGATTTTTACAGGGAAGATTTGCCAAATCCTGATACTTTTGATGAAGAACTTCATCAATGGAAGACAAGATGGCTTTCCATGCCTTTCCAGGACAGGCCCCAGATACTGGCTGACTGCTCAAAAGTGAGCTTCAGTGTACCAAATATCTTTATACTACTGAAACTCTATGTCACACAACCACTAAGCTCGTGTTCATGTGAACGTTCGGCACCTTCTCTCCGCCGGTTAAACAATTACCTGAGGTGTACACAAACCGAAGAAAGACTGAATGTCCCAACTTTAATACATAATCATTATGACACTGTTATCAACATGTATGTAAGTTATGTATGTAAAAGCACCCTAGAAGAATGGAGCATGTTAACATATTATTTCAGTTGTGCATACATGTACGTATGTGATAACCAATGATTAAAATAGCTCATATACTATTGTTGTACAGAGTTGTTTAAATTAGTAATATAAGTTAACAATTAATAACTACTCTGTATGTAGATAGTACTGTACGTTACTATAATAAAACATACATATTTATGTTAATTTAAGTATAGCATCCAATGCAGTGTTACAACAGAAGGATGATTTGTTGACTGTTCATTGGATGTTTGTGGGTTTTATTTGAAAAGTCATAGAATTGTTTAAGCTATATTTCATGCTACATTGCTACCAGATTTTACTTCATAGCACGTATTTTTACAGACCCTTGTAGCATTAACATCATTTGCATGTTAACTGCGCTTCGCACAATGTGTTGGCTTTCGGTCTCACAAATTAGGACCTCCCCCCTTTGAAATATTATGCGTACAGGCCTGAATCTATAAATCATTTTGAAATAAACTAGTAATAGAAAAATATTTTGTATATTTGAAATGATGTAGGATTGGCAATACCAAAAAGAATCAAACAAGAATATAAGGATGATACAGCTATACATAGATCACCCAACACGGCTTTCAATACTTGACTTTAATATTAATGCAGTTGGAAGTTATATATTTTTGACTGTTGGTATGCAGCTTGTTTATCATAATATCATGGTCATGTCAAACTGACCGACCTCGTAACCATTTTGTACTCGTATATTTTACAGTGTAACATAAAATTTTAATATTGAAAGTCATGTAAGGGTGATCTACGTATAGCTGTATCATCCTTATATTCTTGTTTGCATTCTTTTTGGGACTGCCATCATCACATCATTTTACATTTACAAAATGTTTTATATAACTTGTTTTGTGACGTTTTTTCCCTGGCTGAAAGTGTATTCTGTGAAAGTGTGTGATAAAATTTAATATGATGTGTATTGATTTTGATTTTACTCTTTCACTTCATGCATAATATAGTGGTTGGATCCCTAAAGACACCGATTGTATAGTGTACAAAGCATTGAGTATTCTACATGTTACATTCATCTGATGTTCATTTATTATTGGATGGTAATTCCTGTTTCACCCTGTACTTAAGCTTTATAAAAGAACACCAGATTTCTGTCAAAAAGCTGCCTTCAAGGGATTATGATAACATCACTTACACTAGAATTATTATTTTATTTTAATTATTGCTACTCATTACGACTAAGCGATGACATCGTGCACTGCCCAAAAAACACATAGAGTGGATTTAGGTTTAAACTGACGTTAGTTATAATGTATTTGTAGAGTTATCTCGACTGAAACAA